GGTGTACATAAACCAATTGTGGACTACTAAATAAGGCAACAAGTGTAGTATTCCAACATAACTGTGATTTGCTTTTCACGATAGATTTAATCACACCGTTTTTTGGGTGAATAGAATAATTTTGTAATAGCTTTCGTCGTGTTCCGAGCGAGTCTAGGCTCATTTCCTTCGCAAACGAAGTATAACTACGATATCGGTCCCGATAGCTGGGGAGGGCATGATGCATATCAGTTAATTTGGGGGGGTAATTTCGAGATATATCGGTAGAATACTAGCAAGCATAGTATATTGACACATTTCTTTTGCCACGTGATGACCTATTCCATATCTGATTGGTTCTACTGAGCGTCTATGTTCACATCACGTTCACGCTCGAATCTAATTGGCTCATATGATTTCCCTTGCCTACGTCATCCGCTACAATTCAGGCTGATTTTCCGTCACTCTTAACTACTTTTTGCCATTTGTCGCGGCGTTGGAGGCGTAAGCTTACTGCGGCTCCTGAAATCGTAAATTTTATACACCGTTAATATCAATTTGCGCAGAAAATGGTATAGAGGCAAATTCTTAGAATGATGTGTACTACCACTGGGTAAGCTCAGAATCATTAAATTAGGTGTGAAAAGTTATATCATGCCACGGGCTGCACACAGCGTTGTGTTTACGAAATCAGCTGATTGGCATTTACGGCTTGTGATTGGTCAAGATACCCTAAGAACCGCCTGAAACGGCAGTTGTGATTGGCCACCGAAGATCCGACGCCTGAAGTGATTTGCGGCGCTGCGGGACTTAAGGCAGTGATAAGGCTCTTCAAAAAATGTTTGAGCATACGAAGCTAAGTCCGAGATACGGCGCCTTTGACGGGCCTTAACTTTGGTCGCCGCAGGACGGTTAAGGCCTCCAGCGTGCCTTAACTTAAGGCTCTTTTGAGAATCTGGCCCCAATGCTCAAGGACTATTTAAGTACTTATATAGACCTTGCCAGTACTTTCCTGTTAATGTTATTCTAATTGGAAACAATTAAAATGACATTATTACTGTAAGGTGATTTTCGGTACCACAGTGACAAATGCATGCTTTATATCATATATCATACTCAATCATGTTATTTTGTGATACATTATGTCATATATATTGTATCATGTTGAATTATATAAAATTAGAAAGCAAATTAAAGGACTTGTATAGTGAAAACTGACTATTCTATTCTAATTCTTAATGTTGATGTCCATCGTTCAAGGAAAAGGACACCGTCGTTCAGCTTTTCAACAGGCGTTTTCAGCTTCTTACTGCTTAGCAGGTATTTCTCCCTGCTCGTCGGTCCTTTCGAGCCTGGGGCCGGATTCTCAAAAGAGCCTTAAGTTAAAGTGCGCTGGAGGCCTTAACCGTCCTGCGGCGACCTAAGTTAAGGCCCGTCAAAGGCGCCGTATCTCGGACTTAGCTTCGTATGCACAAACGTTTTTTAAGGCGCCTTATCCCTGCCTTAAGTCCCGCAGCTCCGCAAATCACTTAAGGCGTCGGATCTTCGGTGGCCAATCACAGCTGCCGTTTCAGGCGGCTCTTAGGGTATCTTGACCAATCACAAGCCGTAAATGCCAATCAGCTGATTTCGTAAACACAACGCTGTGTCCAGCCCGTGGCATGATAAACTTTTCAACAAAATTGGTATTATTGAAAATGCAACCCCACACCTAATTTAAAGAATCTGAGCTTACCCAGCAGTAGTAAACATCATTCTAAGAATTTGCCTCTATACCATTTTCTGCGCAAATTGATAATAACGGTGTTACAGAGGGTATAAAATGCACGATTTCCTTACGAACGCCGCGACAAATGACAAAAAGTCGTTAAGAGTGACGGAAAATCAGACGAATTTGTAGCGGATGACGTAGGCAAGGGAAATCATGTGAGCCAATTAGATTCGAGCGTGAACGTGATGTGAACATAGACACTCAGTAGAACCAAACAGATATGGAATAGGTCATCACGTGGCAAAAGAAATGTGTCAATATACTATGCTTGTTAGTATTCTACCGATATTTCTCGAAATTACCCCCCAAATTAACTGATATGCATCATGCCCTCCCCAGCTATCGGGACCGATATCGTAGTTATACTTCGTTTGCGAAGGAAATGAGCGCTAGATTCGCTCGGAACACGACGAAAGCTTTTATAAAATTATTCTATTCACTCAAAAAACGGTGTGTGGTTGCATCTATCGTGAAAAGCAAATCACAGTTATGTTGGAATACTACACTTGTTGCCTTATCTAGTAGTCCACAATTGGTTTATGTACACCTAATGCACTATAATTGAGTAAAATACAAATTGTAATGTTGTATTAATTGTTCTAGGGCTGAAAAATGTCATTTATGCTTCGCCGTAACTCGCTAAGGCTGCTCTCCGTCTGCCTTAACCGAGGGCGCCTTAACTCGCACCAATATGGCGGATCCCTTGCTCTGTGCATGGGCCGTAAGATCGCTGGCCGTAAGTTAAGGCGCCTTAAGGAGATACGGCGCCTTAACGCGTTTGAGAATCCGGCCCCAGAGGCCGGATTCTCAAAAGAGCCTTAAGTTAAAGCGCGCTGGAGGCCTTAACCGTCCTACGGCGACGTAAGTTAAGGCCCGTCAAATGCGCCATATCTCGGACTTAGCTTCGTATGCACAAACGTTTTTTGAGGAGCCTTATCCCTGCCTTAAGTCCCGCAGCGCCGCAAATCACTTGAGGCGTCGGATCTTCGATGGCCAATCACAACTGCCGTTTCAGGCGGCTCTTATGGAATCTTGACCAATCACAAGCCGTAAATGACAATCAACTGATTTTGTAAACAACGTTGTGTCCAGCCCGTGACATGATAAAACTTTTTAACTGTCATTTTCCAGAATAAGTAATGCAGAAGAAATTTACAAGATTCATATATATATATATATATATATATATATATATATATATATATATATATATACTGTGTGTGTGTGTGTGTGTGTGTGTGTGTGTGTGTGTGTGTGTGTGTGTGTGTGTGTGTGTGTGTGTGTGTGTGTGTGTGTGTGTGTGTGTGTGTGTGCGTGTTTGTGTGTGTGTGTGTGCGTGTTGTGTGTGTGTATATATATATATATATATATATATATATATATATATAATATATATATATATATATGCACTAATGTAAATACTGACAATAACAATGACAATTAAACAAAGGCATTTTCCGTGACTCCTTTGTCATTTGTCGCGGCGTTGGAGGCGTAAGCTTCCTGCGACTCCTGGAAATCGTGCATTTTATACCCTCTGTAACACCATTATTATCAATTTGCGCGGAAAATGGTATAGATGCAAATTCTTAGAATGATGTGTACTACCACTGGGTAAGCTCAGATTCTTTAAGTTAGGTGTGGGGTTGCATTTTCAATAATACCAATTTTGTTGAAAAGTTTTATCATGCCACGGGCTGGACACAGCGTTGTTTACGAAATCAGCTGATTGGCATTTACTGCTTGTGATTGGTCAAGATACCCTGAGAGCCGCCTTGAAACGACAGCTGTGATTGACCACCGAAGCTTAAGTGGTTTGCAGCGCTGCGGGACTTATGGGAGGGATAAGGCGCCTTAAAATACGTTTGTGCATACGAAGCTAAGTCCGAGATACGGCGCCTTTGACGGGCCTTAACATAGGTCGCCGCAGGACGGTTAAGGCCTCCAGCGCGCTTAACTTACGCTGCATTCGGAACTGCTCGTCTATCTCGTCCAGACAACTTGTCCAGGACCAGCAGGACGAGACGCGCCGCGTTCGGAACCTCCAAGACCCTTTCTGCCCTGAATGCAACCGGCTCGAATCAAACATTCACTTTTTTTTTTTAAATCATACCGGTGCCTTTATTTTACACGCTGCATAGGTTTTGTAACTCCTTTGATGTACATTTAACTTACCTGCAACTGACAAACACAAAAATGTCCTTTGATAACACCAATTAAGGGTCATAAAATTACCCACCAATATCTTGTGGTTACCTGCAACTGTCAATGTTTACATACAAAATCTTTTGTGACGTCATCTCATCCTACTCGGCCACCTTCGCAGGAGGGCGAGTCGGACGAGCTAGACTACTTGTCCAGGACGAGATAGTGGAAGTTCCGAACGGTCAAAACATATCGTCCAACTGGTCTGGACGAGATAGACGAGCAGTTCCGAACGCACTATAAGGCTCTTGAGAATCCGGCCTAGGAGTCGCAGTAATACGCCTCCAATGCCGCGACAAATGACAAAAAATCGTTAAGAGTGACGGAAAATCGGACGGATTTGTAGCGGATGACATATGCAAGGGAAATCATATGAGCCAATTAGATTCGTGCGTGAACGTGATGATAACATGGACACAGTAGAATCAATCTGATATGGAATAGGTCATCACGTGGCAAAAGAATTGTGTCAATATACTATTCTACCAATATTTCTCGAAATTAACTTCCTCAATTTAACTGATATGTATCATGCCCTCCCCAGCTATCGGGACCGATATCGTAGTTATACTTCGTTTGCGAAGGAAATGAGCACTAGATTCGCTCGGAACACGACGAAAGCTATTACAAAATAATTCTATTCACCCAAAACACTGTGTGGGGTTGCATCTATCGGGAAAAGCAAATCACAGGTATATTGGAATATTACACTTGTTGCCTTAATTAGTAGTACACAATTGGTTTATGTACACCTAATGACACTATAATTGAGTAAAGTACAAATTGTAATGCTGTATTAATTTGTTCGAGGGCAGAAAAATGTGCATATATGCTTCGCCGTAACTTTGTACGGGTGCTCTTCCCCTGCCGTAGCCGAAGGCGCATCAATATAGCGGGTCCCTTGCTCTGTGCATGGACCGTAAGATCGCTGGCTGTAAGTTAAGGCGCCTTAAGGAGATACGGCGCCTTAATGCGTTTGAGAATCTACTACTATGGTGCTACCTGTAGATGGATAGTTTGCGTTGCTCCTTTTCTAATATTGAAGCCAACAGAGTCAGCTCAGGGGCGGAGAGAGGTTAGGTGCAAAGCCGACACTCCCATACATGTTCCTTTGGTTGTACGGGAACTGCCCTTGCATGTGAGTCGTGCACCCGGGCAGAGGGGTATGATTTGGCAAATTGACAGACTTCATTGGGGCTCCGGGCGACAGCGGGGGAAGAAAACATTGAGGCCTCGTGTGATGTCACATCAAGTTCGGAGTAAGGAGTCAGCTTTGGTTTATTGCTCCATTTCACTGAATGACAAACATTCGATAAACGTTAGGATTCGAACCGCATGAAGAAGGTACACAGACAAGCGCCTTGTCGATTAAATGGAACGGAGGTTAAGAGGCTCCACGTGTATCACGGTCTACCGAATCGGCTCGGAAGCTGTAGACTTTATATGTGTGTATATTTATGTTTTATATATGCATATATATAATATATATATATATATATATATATATATATATATATATATATGTGTGTGTGTGTGTGTGTGGTGTGTGTGTGTGTGTGTGTGTGTGTGTGTGTGTGTGTGTGTGTGTGTGTGTGTGTAAGTGAGTGAGTGTGTGTGTGTGTGTATGTGAATGTGCTTGTGAATGTGTGTATGTGTGTTTATTATAAACTGTATCAGTTTGCTGTAGCTATCTTGGTATATGCGTATACCTTATCCCATATTCCATATCACATTTCTACTATGATGTCTTCCCTAAACGACTGTTGCCACGTCACTGCAGATCCACCTGGAGGACCTGCGGGACCCAGAGCTGAGTGAGGCCGAGAAGATGGACGTCGCGGCAGCCTACTTGGGCGTGCTGGCCATGCTGGAGGCGAGCGGCTTCAGCCTGGCCGCCTTTGCCCCCAACGTCAGGAACCCCGAGGCATGCGCGCTCGCCGGGGTGTCCGTCCCCTGCTATGCTGAGGTCCTGTGGCTGCGGCAATGATCTGAGCCGAGTTGCGATTAAGATTCGATTAGAACAAAGCTGAATGAGGCTGTGATCAATCAGGTACCTTGTCGGTTAATTGGAACGGTAAACAAACATACATACACACACGCGCACACATACACACACACTGTGTTCTGTATTTGATGTATGTATACAATTTATACACACAATTCCTGTTGAAGTATAAGTTCACACTGTAGAGAAATATACTCAATATGTTTGTGTATATTGATGCATTCATGTTGATATGTAATCGTATATGCATTCACTTAAACATTCTTATTGATTTGTACTTGTTTTTATACATCCTTAATTTTTTCTATATGCATTTTATTTTTACTTATGCCAACATGTATGTTTATATGCATTGCTATGGATAGATAAATAAATATAGAAATTGTCATTCTGTGCTTAATAGGAAGTAAAAGTATCACGTATCGACGGATCCATGAATTGATGTAAACAAACAGTAAATTGAGTTTACTTTGCTTTTCCAAGGGTAAATGTAATGTAGAGTATTTGCTGGTATATGTGTCGCAATACCATTACTTAAAATAAAGTAGTTTCCCTTGTCTGTCATTTTCATAAACAATTTAAGATATAAAAACGTTTATATATATTATTATATTATCAGAAAGTTTTTTTTTTCATAATACATATAGATTTTTTATTTGTAATTTCCTTCTCTCTTTTTAAAGAATAAAAAACGCCTTTTTCGCTCATAACCAAGTTTATTTTTTCATGTAAACATGCTAAATAAAAAGCAATGCATTGTTATCTAAAATACATCTCAGACAATTTTGGCTATATTAAGAATACAATATAATGCATTCGGAAACAGTAACAAGCGATTCGGTCGACGAATCTCCCAAAAGAAGAAAAAAAAAAAAAAATCGTCACCAACAAACGCTCCGGTGTGACTCTAGTGTCAAAGGAAACATGCGACATCGTCAGTATACGATGGGGAAATAAGAAAGTTCGAAGCATTGCGGGTAAGAGAAAGTGGATATATACACATGAAATAAAAGGTTGTAAAGGTTAGGTTGAGATGAGAACTACAGAATGAGTTGTTAAATCGAACAAAGCGGTAAAATCAGCGGAAATGGAAAGCCGTTATGTGATCGCAACGCAGATCGAAGTCAAGATGATAACGATTATTAAATTAAAAGTTTTTATGAAATGTCCATTATTGTCATCGATTCCATATTATCTTCAAGTTTGTCTTCAATTTGTTTATAGACAATGGCAGTGTTGACGTCATTATACAATTTGCTGGAATGACGAGGAAATGTCTTCATGATTTTGGTAGCTGAAACAAGACCATTAATTATTTTACTCTTTATTAATTGAGGAGGTTGATAGTGGTGATGATAGTTGTAAAATTTACTGATTAGCCTGCAGTGTCCCCCTTGACGCCTATCTGGCCTAAGTATCCGAGATGTTCTGGTGATACTCGTGCTCTGCTCCCTCAAATTCGTGCTCTGCTCCCTCAAGGGAGGCTACCTGAAAGCATGGGCCATTGAATCCTAAAACACTTTTCAGTTATTGAAAAAAGAAACTCAAGTTGTTTAATACTGTAAATCACATGTCTAATGGTCAAGAGATTGCCCTAGTTTACATGTCTGTTGGTACTTCAGCAAAGATCAACAAACAGTCTCCACATGTTTTGAGATAGATCCTCATTTGGTGATAAATCAAATGGGAGAAACTAATGTGCTTGGTTGACATTGATATAAAAGAAATTGAGGAAATGTAACGAAATAGTCTTGGAATTTGTTGAATAGTTGGTATCCTTTATAGTTAGCCTTGTAGTTTGGTAATTAGTAAAAATGCATTTGGGTATGTCTTGACTGCAAGTAGCCCCAAGAACTTTAATCTGGAAAAAATACCATGATCTTCAAGAGTTTACTGGTAGTAATCAATTTAATTTTGGAATACAAATTTTCAGACAGTTTAGGCGATGCTTGTCATTTGGTAGGCAGTAATTTGCTTTTCTACTCGTGTAAGATTTGTGTTTTTCACCAAATTCTTGACAAAGGCACCTCTAGCCTACCAGATGTGAGCAGAATATATAATTTGCACTCTTCAGTTTCCCACTTTGTAAAATGGGCTTTTTCCTGTTATGCACTACTTATTTGTGGTAAATATGTTGTTGTTAGAACAAACAGTACAAGGAGTATTTACGTTTGATCTTAGGTGCAGTATTTGTAAAAAAAAAATTCTGCCAAAAGCGCTTATCAGTATTCAAAGCTATTTCCTGTATTTAATTTAATTAAGATATTAAAATATCTCTTGGTTTGTGGTTCAGGTACCTCAAACAAAAGCTGGATCTACAAATGAGGTTTTTTCATGCAAACCATGATACTTATGCTACTCACTCTCTCTCTCTCTCTCTCTCTCTCTCT